TGATGAAAATGTTCTAAAATTATATAGTGGTAATGGCTAGTATATATAATAAAGGACACTGAATTGTATATTTTAAAAGGCTGAATTTATAGCACATAAACCCTATCTCAATAAAAAATCAACAATAAAAACAACAGCACTAAGAAGCACCACCTTCTTCATCAATATCTGCTTATGCTATTTCAATATAAATCCAAGCAGATAGAATCTGAACCCAAGAAATTAGGAAAACTGGACCCAAACTGTGGTTGAAGCCTTAAAGTAGGGATCAAGCAGTCAAAGTAACTTTTGCTTATACCAGATTCTATAGTAAGGTAGCCTCCTGTAGCTCTAACACAGTTTTGGTTCACTGAGCTGCAATCCAATTTGGCTAACGACTCAATATTGGGCTAGCTGCCAACATCACTACATCCTAACTTGGCCTTATTATTTCTTTCCAAAGCCTCAGAAACATATTTGAAGACTCTAAAAAAATTGCTCATCATCTGAGACTGAAAAAGCATTTGTTTTGCTACACACAAATGAGGACCATTTCACAGATTGCTATTTTCTATCAGCACACACAATCTGGCAGCTGAGATAACACGGTTGAGTTGCACTTCATGTGACTAGCAGGAAGGCAAACAGCATCTGCACACATACCCTGGCAGAACGCTCCATTGTGTATGCCAAGCCAGAGTGCACGATGTCTTTCTCAGATGCACCCTATTAGGAAAAAGAACACAAGTTTAACAAAACCACAAAGACCTGCTTTGTGTCCTGTATAAGATTACAAAGGATTCTTAAGTTAATATATGACCAGACAGAACTTTTCTTTCAGCAAAGCTATGTGTCATTTCTGTACAGTATCAAGATACAGAATCAAAATACAGAATCTTGATACTTACTGAAACAGCTGCTTGTTAACCACAATTTATTTTTATTATATTTTACAGCAAACAAATACTCATGAAACAAGATCACGGTAAAACAATAAAGACAGTTTATGGACACAGCGACATGATGAGGGCATGCAGTAAGATGAGCACCTTCCACTCATGGAGACGTGGATGCACTGAGCAATGTGTTACGCTGATCATGCCATGGTGCGTTCACCTCAGCTCCACAGAGAACAGGGACACCAGACAGAACACAGAAAGGAATCTGATTAAACCCCATAGTGGCTAAGGGGTAGAATTCTGCCTATGTATTCAGTAGTACAAGCAACTTTTAAAGCTGTATGGATTTTAGCAGCGTTTTAATTTTACTGATGAGGAAACTAATGACCAGATAAATTGGCCAAGGTTACAGATATCTATGTTTAGAGCTGGGATATGACCCAGGGCCTCCACCATCAAGTCAGCTTATCTCTTTCCTAATTTGTTTCTTGGAATGCTTTCTAAAAAATTAAAGACAATTAACTCACTACCACTCTTAATGTGACATATGAAGCTACAAAACACATATGCCAGATAAAAACTTAAAGCGGGTCACTGATACAGTTTGGACACTTACTGAGTACATAGTCTTCGAGGTACTAGGGGACACGGCAGAGAATAAAATCAAAATACTGTTCTCACAGACTTTATATTCTAGTGGGAAGACAGTGTATATACATGGACTTAAAACCACGAGGCTAAGTACATCACTGAAGTTTTCAATCTATATAGAAAAGTGGTTTAGGGATTCAGGCTTTCCAATGTTAGGAGAGTGGTGAGTTGATGAGATACCAGCAAGACGCAATTGAGAAGAAATGTTTAGTGAGGTACGAAGAAAATAAGGAGAATGTGGCATCCTGGAAGCTAAGGGAAGAAAATATTTCAAGGTGGGGGTGTTGATTGTGACAAGGGCTGCTAACAGGTCAAGTAAGATGGACTGAAACAGAGCTACTGAATTTGGCAATGTTAGTGTCACTCGTCGTCTTGACAAGAGTAGTCTTGGTGGAGTAGGTTCAAGTAAAGAAGAATAATTAGAGACTGAGTATATACCACTCTTCCAAGGAGGTTTGCTGTACAGGAAACAAATGGCAATACTGTAAAGGTAAGTGGGAATAAGATTTATATATTTTTTAAAACAGCATTTGGTAAGCTGACAGGAATGACTCATGGAAAACTGCTGAATGTACGAGAGAGGGACAGGTTTGCTAGAGCAGTGTATCTGAGGACAAACCATCCAATGTCCACAACAAGAACTGGACCTAAGAAATGAAGGCACAAAGAGCTGATCTATTAGAAGAGAGATGACAGAGGACTGGGGATAGGTACCAGGAGCTGGGTAGATGTGGAAGTTCTCAGGGTGCCTGTTTTATCTGTGAGCAGATAGCAGGTCATGAGCTGGGGTGCAGGGCAGTGAGAAGAGGAGAAAATATGATATAATCACTCAGGAGGTGGGGAGAATGAATGGAACACAGAAAAGTAGCAAGATTGCTATGAAGCTCTGAGTGCCTACTTGAGGTTAGTGGTCAGGGCATGAACTGCCAGCTGGGCCTCCTATAGGATAGAGGCAAGGAAGAGACCACTGGGACTTAGGGTTAACAATGACAAAGGAAACACGACTGGTGAGTGACTGTAACGAAGGAGCATGGAATTTAAGTTAGATAAGGAGGGAAGTGAGGGCACTGGGGGCATGAGGGACAGTAGAAACATGGCAGGGTCAACGATGTGATTCCTGATCGGGCCAAATGGGGAGGGGGAAACTAGAGAGAAAGAGCTGGAAAAAATTTTTTTTGATTGACAAGGCATATGCTGGGCAGTGGGGTGACTAAAGGGAGGGGTCAACAGCCCTCTGGCAGCAGGCCCTTCCAATGCACTGCTAGTCACTTGTGATGGATATGATGTAAAAACAGTGGCACAGAGGAGACTTTCAGAGAGAGCTACAGAGCTGCAGTGACACTTAAATAGGGAGGGGATCTGTGTATTCCAGATAGAAGGACCAGAACAGAGACGTCCCTGTAGGAAAAAGGAAGGTTTACTGAGGGGCACAGGTAGTACCCAGAATGGCTAAAGCAGTTTTTTTTGCCTTTAAAACAAAATCTTTAACTTTCTCCCATATAACAATATAGTCTGAGAACTATTTTCCATCACTGAATATTTCATAAGATATAACTTAGCCATTGCAATATATTCTTAAATTATCCTCTATGATTGAATATTTCCTAAGAAGATGTATTATAACGCAGCCATTTCCTTGCCACTGGACTTCAAATGAAACCAAATTTTAAAACTGTCTACACATAATTTCAATAACATCATCATGCATGGAGTTGTTCCTCCTCTCTTAAATTATTTTCTTAGGATAAATTCCCAGAGGGGAGATTATCATAGGACCAAAGGGCAGGAACACTTCAACAGCTCTTCAAATTTTCCAAAGAGCCGCACCCATCTGCACTGCCACTAGAGTAAAGGCACAGCTGTTTCACCACATACGTGGTATATATAAGGTCCATTAATTGTTTTTGTTAATTTAATAAATTTTAAAAAACCCCTTTAAAATCTGTATTTAACAATGAGGTTAAATTTTTCCCCCAGGCTTATTTATGTGCTGTGACTTTGTTTTTCATGTCTTCCATCATTTACTGGTAAAGAAGTTTTTTCTTTCTTTTCTTTCAGTAGAGATGGGGATTTGCTATGTTCCCCAGGTTGGTTTCAAACTCCTGGACTCCCACATAGTTCAATCTAATGCTTACTTTTCAATTCTTCCTATTTCTCTGAAGCTTAAAATGACTAAAATACATAATAATCCTTCACTGTTAAAACATGTGCGTAAAAAATACCAAAAGCAGAACTATTATTTATTTTAAATTTTTTATTAGGCCAGGCATGGTGGCTTATGCCTGTAATCCCAGCACTTTGGGAGGCCAAGAGGGGTGGACCACCTGAGGTTGGGAGTTTGAGACCAGCCTGACCAACATGGAGAAACCCCACCTCTACTAAAAATACAAAAAAGTAGCCTGGCATGACGGTGGATGCCTGTAATCCCAGCTACCTGGGAGGCTGAGGCAGGAGAATCCTTTGAACCCGGGAGGCGGAGGTTGCGGTGAGCCGAGATTGCACACTGCACTCCAGCCTGGGCAACGAGCAAAACTCCGTCTCAAAAAAATTTTTTTTGTTAGTAGTCATGAGGATTCTTACTCCAGTATTACAATGTAATGAAAAAGGAAGGTACAAAACACACATGTCTCGCAGTTACTGTCAAGCTAATTAATTACAAATGACTACGCCGCAACTGAAATCAGTCTAACCAGCTCTTTTGGGCAGACAGCGTGTGCTAAAGGACAACTGTGGGGTCACCACACTCACCGATATCCTGTCTTGGAACTCTGCTGTGGGTACAATGGGAATAGTTCCACCATGCTTTCCAAATTTTCTTTCTAAACTCTCTTGAACAGACACTATAAAAAAACCGAGAGATCAAGACATGGCTAACAGAAAAAAAAAAAAAAAAATGAAGTAGAACCAAAAGTAGTCCTAAACTGTAACTGTAGCCTGAAAACAAACACAGGGTTTTAATGACATAAAGGGGTTAATCATTTAAAACTCAGTCAAAAAGGAATAAAACACATTGCCAATTTCCTATATAAATGTGAATTTAGGTCACTGCTCTGTTTCCATAACACCCATTACAAGGGTTTTTCCTTGGCTCTATTAAAAAGAAAACGCTGGGGGAAAAAGAAAAGAAAGTAGATGGAACACTTCACCCAGATTCTCACAGTGGGCTGAGTGTAGAAGCTCAGTTGGAGGTCTTGGTCTTATTTCAGCTTGATGAGAAATTCTACTCTTAACTGTGGCGCTTACTCTAGTCAAAGAAAAACAAGTATTCTCATCAGGAGTCTCAAAAACAATTCTTGACACTAGATAGGCCTTTACTAAGAGCAGCCAGAGACAAAAATGAGTATCGACAGTGGGGTTTTAAAATCACACTTTAAAAAATATTACTAACTTGCAGAGTATATCCTGTGAACAATACATCACAGAATAAAAATCTGAATATTAAGTATATGGGAGAGTTAATATCCAGGAAGACATTGTACATTTTTGGTCTAAGTTTCATGAGACAAACTACTATTTTCTGTTCTGAGACTTCATTCTTTCCCAAAGGGAAACGTTCTCTTAAATGTACCTTTTTACAGACTTGTAGCTGGCTCAAAAGTCTACAGTCTACAGTCTAGTCTCAAAAGTCTAGTTTTAGAGAACAAGATTATCGGTACTCACTGAGCAAGTGGTAGTTAGAATCCCTTTCATATTTAAAGGTCAAACGGCCATAGCTGACATGATTTAGATTCTTCAGCCACTCAAAGTATGATACTGTCACTCCTCCAGCATTCAAGTAGAGATCCTATACACAAAAATAAGACACCGAAGAAATTAGAAGGTGATGGGTTTAGTAAAAGCTTAAAATGAACCTAGGAACTCAATTTAAATACCATGGTAGACAGACCTTCGAATTTCGCAAATATATTTTAGCTGTTATTAAGAATTTCACACTTAATTTAACAGTTCCCCCTTCCCCATCCAATTCCACCTAAGGCCTTTTCTATTTAGGGAAAAAAATCATTTTTTTGCTTATTAATTAATGAATGTTAATAATCTTTGGTTAGAGCATCTTCTCTACCAGTTCTCACACTGAATGGCTTGCCCACCAACCAAGTGGATTGGACAGGGCCTCTCAGAAGACAGGATTCTTTCTCCTATACCTAAGGGTAGCCCATTTCAGTTACATTCAGTGTCTTTCAGCAAAGGGGATTCTTTAAAATGCATTCCAAGCCCACACTAATTTCTAATTAACTTTTTGGTGTAGACTCATGCTTACCTGCTAAAAAAACTTGAGCATGTGTTCCTCATATTAGTTTTCTGAGTAAAGCCAAAAGGGCACTTGAAATGCATAAGGTTAGGAATCATACAGAAAATCTTAGAGCTTAAGTTAGAATAGTATTTCTAATACAGTGCACATTTACATAACCAGACTCTTACAAGGCTAAAGACATTCGGTAAAGAGCCTGAAACTGGAATAAATGTTTAGATCAAAGTGAAAAGTGACAGGGTTATAACTAACCATGCTTCTGTATTTTCTCAGACATGAAATAAAGATGAATTCACTAGTGCTTGGGAGAATAATTCCTCTCTTCCTCCAAATTCCTTGCAAAAGACAATTATGATTCTAAGTACATATAAAACCTAATAAATATAGATGACTTACTGGAATAACCATAATGTTTCTCTCCAGGAAGATCTTATCAGCTTCTGGAGTTGTTGGCCCGTTGGCACCTTCAGCAATAATCTGCAAGAGAGTCAGGAACATAGAGAAATGCCAACGACACCGTCAAATCCCCTCCATTGAGGGCAAGAGATGTGCATATATGAACGGGGGCTGTGGGGAGAAGCACAGTTGCATTAAAATTAAATAAAGATTACTTTGTTCTACAAAGTGTATAAAACTAACTTTTGCCTTTCTATTTACCTAGGGTTTTTTTTTTTTTTTTAACAGAAGTGTCAGGCAGATGCATTTTTTTGGTAAGGTTGCACAACTCTGTGCACATAGCTAAAAGCCATTAGATTATGTACTTTAAATGGGTGAACTGTATGGTATGTGCAATATATGCCAATAAAGCTGTTAAAAAGAAAGAGAAAATTCAATCAGACTTTTCTATGACCCCACTAACGTCATTCACATTGATAATGTTGATTCCGGTTCCTATAATGTTGTCACCTTGGCTTTGACTCTGGGTGCGTTGGATTTGGTCAACTGCTTCTCACTGGCAGCTGGGATCAGTATGTCACAGTCAGCTTCCAAGATGCTTCCTTCATAGGGCTTTGCCTTGGGGAAGCCCAGAATGGACCCATGTTGCTGCCATTGATTGAAAAATCACAATTAATAGCTGTACCAGAGTTTAAATGTTTATATTTAGTGTCTGTGCCATAAGAATGTATTCATACCAATTTGAAGTCTTCCAGTTCCTTTGGGTCAATACCATCTGGATTCCATATACTCCCATCAGACTCACCAACAGCAATACATTTAGCACCAAAACGATGTAAATATCTCATAGAGTGTAGGCCCACATTACCAAATCCCTGTGAAGAACAATTATCCATGACACAAAAATTAAAGTCCTGGTAGAGATAGCAAGAGTCATATTTTGACCAATGTAAATCCACATTCTGTTTATTTAGAAGCCATTCTCAACATTCTTTTGCTAAAAGAAACAATGTACCAACTGGTTTCTTTTCAACAATAAAATTCTCTGTTTGAGAATGTGATGATTGGGATTACAGGCACCCGCCACCAGGAGTTTGAGACCAGCCTGGCCAACATGGTAAAACCCCATCTCTACTAAAAATACAAAAATTAGCTGGGCATGGTGGCAGGCGCCTGTAATCCCAGCTGCTTGGGAGGCTGAGGCAGGAAAATCACTTGAACCCAGGAGGCAGAGGCTGCAGTGAGTCAAGATTGTGCCATTGCACTCCAGCCTGGGTGACAGAGTGAGCCTCGGTCTCAATAAAAAAAACAATCAAACATAGAAGTTGTATTTCTCCAAATTATTGACATCTCTTTTTACAACACAGGACATCTGGTCATCAAGGACTGAGGATCCGATGGTGTACTTAACACCGCCGTTTATTTATTTATGTTTTGAGATCGGGTTGCCTAGGCTGGAGTGCAGTGATGTAATCTCAGTTCACTGCAACCTCCACTTCCCGGGTTCAAGCAATTCTCCTGCCTCAGCCTCCCAAGTAGCTGGGATTACAGGCACAGGCCACCACACCTGACTAATTTTTGTATTTTTAGTAGAGATACATGATGGTCTCTACTAAACTATGTTGGTCAGGTTGGTCTTGAACTCCTGGCCTCAAGTGATCTACCCGCCTTGGCCTCCCAAAATGCTGGGATTACAGGTGTGACCCATCATGCCCAGCCACCACTTCTATTTTAAAGTAATTTCCAACTTAATTAAGATTATCCTAATTAAAATACATGTTAACACATCAAACAAATTTGGGTCAATGTGTAAACCTTTCTACATACTTTAAAATTGAGAGAATTATGTTAAGAGAGTTACCTTTCTAGATACAATTTCAAGTTTAAATACTGACCAATATTTTGGTTGAATTTGATGACAGTTGGTAAGTTTCACACGTACTTGAGAGTGATACTTAAATCAGTTCTAGTTACAGGAATCATACCAAGGTTCAAAAAACAAAAGATGTATTACTTTGAAAACCACCACTCTTAACTTTTAAGAGATTTGAGATAACCGTATTTTTTAAAATTACAATTCTAAAACCATTAAAAACTTAATGCCTATCAGTTATTAAGAAAACTTTTTTTTTTTTACCTGAACAACAAATGTTTTATCTCCAAATCCTGGTGTCATTCCTAAAATGCTCATGTAAGAAGCTTCATTGATGAAGTTTTCAATCCCATGGAAGACGCCACGGCCGGTAGCAGAAATGCGTCCGTGGATGCCCCCTTGACTGATGGGTTTACCAGTAACACAGGCATGTGCATTAATATCCTGTAAGAGGGAGTAATTGAAAGAATGAAATGTCAAGCCAATTTCTCTGTTGAATCAATATAATAAAGTCGAAACACATTCTCATTTAACTAAAATTATGCTCATCAGGAGTGTGTGTGTATGAATGTATTTAAGGTACATGTTACCAATAGAGACAAGACTCACTTTTTCAGCTTTCTGTTCCTAGAAAATATAATAAGGCTGTATTTCCTGACAGAAGAAACAGAGTGTAGAAAAGTAAGTTCAAATAGCATCACAAAAGTAGACCTAGCTCAGCCTGAAGCTTTCATTCCTTCAATAAGTATTTAAGCGCTACTAAATCAAGGTACACATCCCATTCATGAGTATCTTAAAATCAACTTATGATTTGAGCATGTCACCAAAATAGAGCCTGAGACAGGAAGAGGCTTTAAAATTTTCTTGGATGGGAAGACTCAATGTTGTATTCTGCCACTCTTTAAAAAGGAATTTTTAAATATAACTTGATACTTAATATAACATGATATTCAAGTTCATCTAAGAGTAGACTAACGGAAGTATTTAACGAAATTTTTTGAAAAAGCTATGTGTGGGTGAGAGTCCTGTGCTTCTGTGTGAGCACAGTATCTTTGGTAGCAGTGATTAGCTCTGCAAAGTGAAGATGGGGGTTAACAGTCTTCACCACCCATCTTACTGTCCTCTTTCAATTGAAGACGTGCATAAATTCTTGTTCAGAAACAGGTATAATTCGAAAAAATAAGAATGGGGCTTAGGAGGTCTTCCCTTCCAAGGCATCAAATATACTATAAACATGGCAATCCAGGAGGCTGAGGCAAGACAATCACTTGAACCCAGGAGGCGGAGGTTGCAGTGATCTGATCGTGCCATTGCACTCCAGCCTGGGCAACAGAGTGAGACTCCGTCTCAAAAAACAACCAACTAACCAACTAACCAACCAACCAACCAACCAACCAACTAACCAACCAACCAACATGGCAATCAGAACGCTGCAGAATAAACTCATCCATGGAGCAGAAGAAACTAGAGACAGTCTTAATTTGCACAGGCAATCAATATAAAATGAAAATCCACATAAAATTTTAAGTCAGTGGAAAAGTACAAAATAGTCAATAAACTTGTTGAAGCAATTTGCTATCTACGTAAACAAAATAAAATGCCTTACTTCACACCAAACCCCTAACTCCCAGCATATCCTTAATGTTCCAGCTGGCTGAGTTAAGAAATGGTCCGTTCTTTATCTGTATTGTTTAAATATTTTTACAGAGAGAATTGGAATTATATTATTTGTATAATTACCAACAAAAAGGATGAAAGTAAGGAAGAAAAATGCAGTCTAGTAAAGTGATTTATAGAATTAGTAGTTTTCCCACGGTTTGCTTTCACGAATAATTAACACTTATGAATACAGAAATGCGAACCAAGTGCCAAAAGCTTTTAAACAGTGAAAATGCAAATGCTGCAGTTGAAGGAAATACTGTCTGCGGTCAGGGCTGGCGCCAACTGCCAGGCTCCCCAGCATACGTAATGGTCCTAAAAGCCCAGAGAAGAATAAATTCTCCCACCGACACTGCACTTCTAGGTGGTGCTAGGATAGTGAGTGGCACGTTCCAGTTCACATTAGAAATGAGCAACAAAAACAACTGGGTCCTTCCCTTAGGCCTTGATTTTAGATTTCTTATGACTTAAAGAAGGAAAATTGTTCACCAGTATATCCAAGGGGCAGTGCTTCACAAGACTTTCTCTTGCTGCTAGCACTGAGAATGAGCTACTGCCTACTGCCACTGGTTTGCACTGTTCTAAGTGCAGTGGATTATTCATCTAATTCTCATATGATCGTCTCAAAAAGTAGGTACTTTTTTTTTTTTTTTTGAGAGGGAGTCTTGCTCTGTCACCAGGCTGGAGTGCAGTGGCGCAATCTCGGCTCACTGCAACCTCTGCCTCCTGGGTTCAAGCGATTCTTCCATCTCAGCCTCCTGAGTAGCTGGGACCACAGGTGCGTGCCACCACGCCTGGCTAATTTTTTTGTATTTTTAGTAGAGACGGGGTTTCATTGTGTTGGCCAGAACGGTCTCGATCTCTTGACCTTGTGACCTGCCCACCTTGGCCTCCCAAAGTGCTGGAATTACAGGTGTGAGCCACCGCGCCCAGCCAAAGTAGGTACTATTATTGCTGTCATTTTGCATATGAGGAATTGGAGGCACAGAGACTCCCAAGTCACAGAGCTGATGGGTGAAGGTGCCAGGGTTGGACTCCAGGTGGTCTGCCCATGTTCCCAGCCACAGCATGATATCAACTCAGGAAATGTCCACATTTCCACATTTTTCCTCTTCTCCAAGGACTATCTTTTCACTATTAAAAGAATTCCCCAGTCCTTTATTTCCTTGGGGGATCTCCCTGGCCTATCTCTTGCACCAATGAATCTGTGGCTCACAGCCAATAAACATGCCAAAAGACAACAAAAACCTTTTTCTTTGGGTAACAGCCACTTTTCAAGCTGCCTTCTTTCTGCTTCTCTCTAGTGCCATTTTTCTTAGCTGGAAGCTACACTTTGCGCCCTAGTTCCCTCTTCATATCCCTTTGCAGTCTGGGCCCCTGTAGTAGCCTCTTGCCCTCAACGAGGCTTCAAATGCACACTTAGCTGAATCACACCTGCTTAAAACCAGCTCTTCACTGGTTTCCCTGTGCTTTCAGGACAGAGACCAAAGTCCTCATGGTTACCTACCAAGCAGTAACCTGGCCTGACCCTTTTTCCTACTGGGCTTTCTTAACCCACCTTTCTCGTTCTCAACTCTGGCCACAATAATCAGTCCTTAGCCTCCCAATTCACCTAGCTTCTGAACTTCAGAACCTTCCCTCAGGTACTTCCTTCTGTTCCAAACACTTGCCACTACCCCTCCCCTAGTCCACGTCCACATACCCATCTGAGTGCAGACCAGAAGGTTATGTCTCCTAGGAGGCCTTTTCTGACCTTACCTTGAAAGGATTGAAAGAGTTGGTCGGGCCAGTTCTTCTTTTTCATAGTTTCAAAATAAATTCCAGCAATTTATCCCAATTGAAGTAAATACCTTGCTTACACTTGGCCTTGTATGTACTAGGCATACATGTATTTTTTGACTCCATTTCTCTTCCTACTCCTTAAATATTTCATTTTTTAAGGTTGCACTCCTTTCAGGGACAGTAGTTCCGTTTTCCTCTTGTGTTCAGTTCTGTGGTGCTACCTCTGCTCAGTGCCCAAACAAGTTCTCCTGGCTCTCTGGGCTCAACCTGGTCCCCTTCCTTAAAGCCACACATATCGAATCCAGTCTTGCTGAGTCTCTCTGTCACATGCCTCACATATGCCAATGCTCCTCTCCTTGGTCCTCTGGCTCCTGGGCTCAGTGGAAAGGCGGTGCCACCACAGAAGGTTCTCTCCTGGCACCAGTATAGCTGGACACTGTTGCCAGCCTATTTTCCCAAGGAAGGATCAGCAAAGTCTCTCCACTGTAAAGGATCAGCAAAGTCTCTCCATGTAAAACACAAACACTAGGGCTTAGCATTTTTGTCCTGGTTCACTTAACCTCTTCAATCTTATTTTCTTCTTTATTTTTGAAAGGAGGGTCTCGCTCTATTGCACAGACTGGAGTGCAGTGGTACAACCACGGCTCACTGCAGCCCCAACCTCCTGGGCTCAAGCGTGCCTCCCAGGTAGCTCTGATTATAGGTATATACCACCATGCTTGCTTAATTTTTGTATTTTTTGGAGAGACAGGGTTTCCCCATGTCCAGGCTGGTTTCAAACTCCTAGGCTTCAGTGATGCACCTGGCTTGGCCTCCCAAAGTGCTGGCATTACGGGAATGAGCCACTGCAACCAGCCTTCGCTCTTACTTTCTATTACCTTTACAAATATGCCTTACCTTCAGACAATCGGAACTCTATTTCTCTTCCTCTTATCCTCCAAATCTCTAGATGTTCATCTTCTACCCATTTTGAAGGTCTAGCCCAAATATCTCTTCTAGAAAGTCTTATTTCAGAATTCATAATCTCCACTGTTGTATTACATTATTTCCATACCTCATCTGCTTATGTGCCTTAGTTTCTCTTTAAATGAAAGCTCTTTGAGGGAAAAATCAGAATTGAATGCTTCTTGAGCTATGTTATAGTGTCTTAGCAGAGTGGGCTGCCCTGGTCAGTAAGTGTCCTACCCCAGTGACAAATATAGGGCAGCATGTAAGTAAGGGCTCCATCTGTGTTCATCACATTTACAATTTAAGAACAGACAAGTAGACACAAAATAATATGCACATAAAGATTATGACTGAATGATAGAAAAACCCAGGGATTCTCAACTTCTGATATAATCAGTCAAACTGTTAATTCTTGTAGACAGCAAATGTGTAAGCCTCGGAGCTTCCAGTGGGTACTCACGTAGTGGCCTATGGTGCTGGCATAGGTATCAGCGATCCAGGACATCTCCCGCTCACCTGTGCTCATGTCTGGGGCAGGGACATCAATGCCAGGACCTGCGGGGGCACAGGAAAGGAGCAGTGCACCAGTTTTTAAGAAAAATCCTTCTCAAACACAAAGATCCTTGCAAGTGTCTGTAATAACAAAGTTACCATGGCTAGAAAACTTTAGATCTCATTTAGGTAGCTAATCGAAGTCATAGAAATATTCATTAAATGTTTCACTATAAAACTTAGACACATATGGCTGGGCACAGTGGCTCATGCCTGTAATCCCAGCACTTTGTGAGGCCGAGGTGGGTGTATCACCTAAGGTCAGGAGTTCGAGACCAGCCTGACCAACACGGAGAAACCCTATCTCTACTAAAAATACAAAATTAGCCAGGTGTGGTGGCACACGCCTATAATCCCAGGTAGCTGGGAGGCTGAGGCAAGAGAATCACTTGCACCTGGCAGGCAGAGGTTGTGGTGGGCCAAGATCATCCTAATGCATTCCAGCCCAGGCAACAAGAGTGAAATCCGTCTCAAAATATATATATATATATAAAATTAAAAATTAGACAAATATTGTTATATAACATTACATAATAATTTCTTCCACTAGCATTTACTTGCTATATGTTTGGAAGTTAGCTATGTACAAGATATAAGCCACTCTACAGGATTTCTGAGTGTGTGACCAGGGGCTAAACATTTTTGCCTCTCTTGACTCATTTCACTAAAATGCAATTAGAGATAATAGTACCACTGTGTTCTATATAAGCAGGATTATGGTTAGGGAGTTGACATGTATGAGATAGTATAGTAACATGCTGCCTAATGGGAGTATAAGCCCTCCTTACCAAGCAGAGAAAAAGGGGAGAAAGTCACATTGCTAAAGCAATTGTGCTAAGCCCCCCACATAATTTTTACTTGTGGAAGAATGTGACTTTGACCTATTATTTGACACTTAGCACATATAAAGTTTAGGCCTTACCTTTCAGTTCCTCAGATCACAGCAAATTAAAGTTTTAGGCTAACAAATTAGCTCACGCGCAATAACAAGTATCACTGACAGCACTAATACTGAAAGCTACAGTAAGATCTCTGATAAAAACATGTTAGGTGATGCTCACTCAAATCTGTAAAGGTGCAGAAATACTCCTCCCAAACAAAGCAAAATGTTATCTACTAAGATTTTATCTAACCTAATTATCTAGGACGTCAGTTAAATGAAATATGGTATACCTACGAAAAGGATAACTTTTTTTTTTAAATATAAATAAACAGAGATGGAGTGTCTCCATGTTGGCCAGGCTGCTCTCGAACTCCTGACCTAAGGTGATCCATCCATCTCGGCCTCCCAAAGTGCTGGGATTACAGGCGTGAGCCACTGAGGATAACTTATAAGTTGCAAATCACTTGGAATTGTCATGAACATACATATGGAAAAAGGCAGGTTTAATACAGCATGTATAACACATTCCCCCTTACATACAATTTTCTTTCTCTTCCCCTTTCTCTCTTCCTCTCTCTCTCTATATTGTTTATAATTTTCTATATTATTTCAACTGTTAAATACAAATTCATCTGTACAAAGAGAAAAATAGAACTTTAAAAATGGTTAAACTATTAAACTATTATGTCCCCCTATAAATTAAAGTTCATTCTAAGGGCTGTACCCAATTCTTCCTATAAATTCAGGAGCTACTTGTAATCTGTGCATCCCTATTCATTAGTTTTGTATGTAGCAGAAAACTCATAAGCCTAATCATTAATATAATATAAAAAGCAATCCTTGACCATTTCAAAGTTGTCTTATATCAGCCCTGTATCTGTTATATCACAACTTGTTCAAAGAAGTAGATTATCTAGGCCTTGGGCCCCTGAGTTATAGAAAACATTACAATATACCAATTCTGTTGACAAAAAGTAAAATTTATACGAAGAATTGGGTACAGCCCTTAGAACGAACTTTAATTTCTAGGGGGACATAATAATTTAATAGTTTAACCATTTTTAAAGTTGTATTTTTCTTTTTGTACGGATGAGTTTGTATTTTTAAAGAAAAATTTTAAAAAAATAGAATATATTTTTTAGTTCTTATTTTTTGAGACGGAGTTTCACTCTTGTTGCCCAGGCTAGAGTGCAATGGTGCAATCTTGACTTATTGCAACCTCCGCCTCCCAGGTTCAAGCAAGTCTCCTGCCTCAGCCTCCCCAGTAGCTGGAAGTACAGGTGCCCTCCACCACTCCCAGCAAATTTTTTGTATTTTTAGTGGAGAAGGGGTTTCACCATGTTGGCCAGGTTGGTCTCGAACTCCTGACCTCAGGTGATCCACCCACCTCAGCCTTCCAAAGTGCTGGGATTACAGGTGTGAGCCACTGTGCCCAGCTCCAACAGATAAATTCTTATATAGAGAACGGGTCTGAGGCGGAAGTTCATCTTTTTTAAAAAAGCAACTTTTGTAACAGCGTGTGACTATATATAGAGCAAGAGTTGAAAGGGCAATTTTGGTGCACAGAGACATAGGGATGAGGAAGGTGGAGACATCAGGGACCTGCAGAACTTCAGTTTACACAGGTGATATTTACACTCACACACAAGAATGAACATTGACCTTTCAAAAGCTTTTTCAAACACAGAAGAGGAAAGGACAATTCTCAACTCATTCCACAAAGCTAGAATTATCCTGATACAAAGACTAGACAAAGACATCATAAGAAAACTATAGACCAATGTCACTTACAAGTATTAAAGGGAATAAAATACTTAGTTGTAAGACTTCTACAATGAGAACTACAAAATATCATTGCAAGAAATCAGAGACCTACATAAATGAAGACATCTCATATTCAGCACTGGAAGGCTTAATATAGTTAAGATGGCAATACTGGTCAGGTGGAGTGGCTCATGCCTATAATCCCAGAACTTTGGGAAGCTGAAGTAGGAGGGGTGCTTGAGCCCAGGAGTTCAAGACCAGTCTGGGATATATAATAAGACCCTGTTCCCACAAAAATCAAAAAATGAGCCAGGCGCAGTGGTGCATGCCTGTGGTTCTAGCTACTTGGGAGGGTGAGGTGAGAGGATTGCTTAAGCCCAGGAGTTCAAGGTTGTAGTGACTGCTGCCTGGTACTCCAGCCTGGGTGACAGGGCAAAACCCTTTTTTTTTTTGGCGGGGGGGGGGGGGGGGGTGAGGAAGATGGCAATATTCCACAAATCGGTATACAGATTCAATGTAATTGCTATAAAAATCCCGGCCTCTTTTTTTGTTTTGTTTTGCAGAAATTGACAAACTGAAAACATCCATGTGACAGAACCAGGGCTCAGGCTCAGGTCTGAGCCTCAATGTGAAACTCTCTGTGGAAAGGGCAGTCAGGAAATAACAGATAAGTAACATCAAATTTGAAGGTTTGGCTAGGAGTGAGAGAAAAATACTCCCTTTGCCTACCTCCTAGGCTTCAAAGCTGTCCGGGCCCAGATGTCAATTTAGCTGCATCCTGGGTCAATGAGGCTTTTGCACATTAAGCAAATAAATCAAATTACTAGAATTTAAGCTGTTTATTTCAGTATTCCAATGAATCACTTTTTGCCCTCTGGAGTTATTAGGTACTTATCAAGACTGATAAAATTAAGCTGGAGATATTGCAGATATGGGAAATAAATATGACTGAATAAAGTCTGAAACCATTTAAGACTATTAAATGTGTTGGAGATTTAGGCAAGGAGGAAATTCCTTATAAAAATTATGAAGGCGGCTGGGTACGGTGGCTCATGCCTATAACCAGCACTTTGGGAGGCTGAGGTGGGTGGGTCATGAGGTCAGGAGTTCGAGACCAGCCTGGCCAATATGGTGAAACCCCATCTCTACTAAAAATACAAAAATTAGTCAGGTGTGGTGGCATGCGCCTATAGTCCCAGCTCATAGGAGGCTGAGGCAGAAGAATCACTTGAACTCGGGAGGCGGAGGTTCAAGTGAGCTGAGATCATGCCACTGCACTCCAACCTAGGCAACAGAGCAAGACTTTGTCTCAAAAAAAAAAAAAAAAAAAAAAAAAAAAAAAATTTTTAAAAAAAAAAAAAAAAAAAAAAGAAAATTAAAAAAAATTATGAAGGCTATTAACAGGCTGAACATGACTTCAATTCACTGTATCTCAAAATCAGTAGGTACTCCTGTAAAGGTGTGAGTGAGATAGTTAACTCATGTTAACAGGCTCTGTGCAATGATGCACAAATTCACAGTAGTACTGGGTATGCAGCATGTCAAAGGCCCAAATGTCTATTATGAAAGACAGGACAAATCTAGTCAAGTTTTAGAGTTACGTATACTTACTGTATTTCTTTTCTTTCTTTATTTTTGAGACAGAGTTTTGCTCTTGTTGCCCAGGCTGGAGCGCAATGGTGCGATCTCGGCTCACCAAAACCTCCGCCTCTTGGGTTCAAGCAATTCTCCTGCCTCAGCCTCCTGAGTAGCATGTGCCACCATGCCCGGCTAATTTTGTATTTTTAGTAGAGACAGGGTTTCTCCATGTTGGTCTGGCTGGTCTCGAACTTCCAACCTCAGGTGATCCGCCCGCCTCAGCCTCCCAAAGTGCTGGGATTACAAGTATGAGCCACTGAGCCCGGCCACTTACTGTATTTCTGTATCAGGTTATTTCATGACATATTTTCCTAAAAATGAATCTGAATAGCTTTATTTCTTTTTTCTTTCTTCTTGAGATGTGGTCTCGTTTTGTTGCTCAGGCCAGAGTGCAGTGGCACGATCATGGCTCACTGTAGCCTCAACCTCTCAGGCTTAAGTGATCCTCCCCTCTTAGCTTCCTGGACAGCCGGGACCACAGGCATGTACCACCATGCTTGAATAATGTTTTTATTTTTTGTAGAGACAGGGTCTTGCTATGTTGCCCACAATCTGGTCTCGAACTCCTGGGCTCAAGTGAGCCTCCCACCTTAGCCTCCAAAAATGCTGGGATTACAAACACGAGTCACCATGCCAGGCTTTACAGTTTAATTTCATAGGAACTTGTCCATGGTGGGGAAAATGCTGAGAAAAGAAGTAGAGAAAAATACACTTTATTTCTTATTTGAGTAAACCTTATCTTGTTTAACTATACTGATACTGATAGGGCAAGCATTCTATTAAGTAACTTTGTATATTTTGTTCAAACAAATTAGAAGCCTTCTAAATAAAGAAATATACAGAAAGGTTTAAATTGGCCGGGCTCACACCTGTAATCCCAAAACTTTGGGAGGCCATAAGGGGCGGATCACCTGAGGTTGGGATTTTGAGACCAGCCTGACCAACATGGAGAAACCCCGTCTCTACTAAAAATACAAAATTAGCTGAGTGTGGTGGTGCATGCCTGTAATTCCAGCTACTTGGGAGGCTGAGGTAGAAGAATCGCTTGAACCTGGGAGGTGGAGGTTGCAGTGAGCTGAGATCGTGCTACTGCACTCCAGCCTGGGCGACACAGCAAGACTCTTTCTTAAAAAACAAAAACAGAAACAAAAACAAAACCCTCTTACAATGTCTGTATAGAAGAAGAGGTGGGAGAGCCCTCTCCCTTGTGTCCACTCTGCACATTAAGAATCTTTCAGGTGTTCCCACTTTATACCAAAATCTATGTGGCCAAACATACCAATAAAGCCCTTCTTTGCTAGCTCCATGGTGAACCTCCTTGTGATCTTTTCCAATTCATTATCCTGTAAAATAAGAAAACAAAAATGAAAGAAAAAATTGATGTAAAAATTGCTTGAGATTATAGCCAGCATATTATTTTCTATTAATAGTACATTTTCATGTAATCCTTAGATTAACTCATAAAGTAAGCATTGCCATTTTAAAGGTGAGAAAATAAGTGATCAAAAAAGTAGATCATAAAAACAAGATAGTAGAACTAGGGCTCAAATTCCCATTCTACTAATTCCCCACTGAAAAATATACTAAATCTTAATTAACTGAAGGCCGGGCATGGTGGCTCACACCTGAAATCCCAGCACTTTGGGAGGCCGAGGTGGGTGGATCATCTGAGGTTGGAAGTTCCAGACCAGCCTGGCCAACATGGTGAAACCTTGTCTCTACTAAAAATACAAAAAAATTAGCTGGGTGTGGTAGGTGTGCTTGTAATCTCAGCTACTCAGGAGGCTGAGGCAGGAGAATCGCTTTAACATGTGAGGCGGAGATTGCAGTGAGCTGAGATCACACCATTGTACTCTAGCCTGGGCAACAAGAGCAAAACTCCGTCTCCAAAAAAAGAAGAGAGAGAGAGAGATTAATTGAAATATAATTATATTCCATTTAAATGGTGAATTTTAAAGAGAATAAAATTCATATGCATTTATTTTTGTATATAGATGATTTAGTACTATGTAAAGCATTGTGACAACCAGTTTGAATTAACTTGGAACTGACAGGATAAAGAGTAAGATTTTTATAGGCTTAGTTATTTGTCACTTGATTGAGATCCCAACATAAAAACTTCAGATCACAGTAACTTCTTTTTGGGACAGGGTCTTGCTCTGTTGCCCAGACTGGAGTGCAGTGGCGAAACCTTGGCTCACTGCAATCTTTGCCTCCTGGGTTCAAGTGATTCTCATGCCCGAGCCTCCTAAGTTGCTGGGATTACAGGTGTGCACCACTACACCTGGCTAGTCAGATCACAGTAATTCTTAAATATGAGTGTAACTGTCTAACAATATGAAGACATTAATTACCTTTTAATTTAACAAAAAGCAAAAAAAACCCCAAAACACTCATAAAAACAAAACCAAACAGAACAGAAAATGATAAAGGATATATATATATTAAGAAGGTGACCTTTATATGGCAAAACACTGAGTTAATTTTTTTTGAGACAGAGTTTGCTCTTGTTGCCCAGGCTGGAGTGCAATGATATGATCTCAGCTTACTGCAACCTCAGCACCCAACACCCAACCACCCTGGGTTCAAGTGATTCTCCTGCCTCAGCCTCCTGAGTAGCTGGGATTACAGGTGCACACCACCATGCCCAGCTAATTTTTGCATTTTTAGTAAAGATGGGGTTTCACCGTGTTGGCCAGGCTGGTCTTGAACTCCTGACCTCAGGTGATCCACCTGCCTCGGCCCCTCAAAGTGCTAGGATCACGCCACTGCACTCCGGACTGGCTGATAGAGCAAGACTCTGTCTCAAAAATACTAAAACCCCCACAATTATCACTTTAATACTTACAGTATAGTTCTTGGGATTGATCTTAACACCAGCTTTAGCACCCCCAAACGGCACATCTGAAAGAGAAGGTTGATGGTTGTTACCGCATGTAAAGGTTAAAAAAGTAAAATGACAAAAAGCACCATACGGTATTAGAAAAACAGATGATGCTTTAAGCTTGAATTTCAGAAATTCAAGAAATAACCTACCATCTTTTTCTAAACTGTACTTTAACATTTTATTGAACAGAAACTGTTCAATAAAATTGGCTAGCCAAGTTCTAATATGTATTTAATCAGTGCTCTTTGCCACTTCTAAAAGATAATAGCTTATTTACTAACCTTCTACTATACTTTGGTCTTATTTACAGAATGTTAAGGAATTAAAAACAAAGATCTAGACTTAAAATCCAATTAGCTCCTATAAAAAAATCCCCCACTTAAAAAAAGGCTATATCTTAACTCAGACTAATTGAAAAATGATGCAGGTCTTAGAGAGTACAACTTAAAAAAAAATCAGTTCTGATAAAGTATATTTCTATAGAATCTTAACAGTAACCTTGTGTGTAAACATATTTCCCCAGAACTCTCATTAGGTAGCAAGAAAGGCGATCACTTACCAACCACTGCACATTTGTATGTCATCAGAGAAGCCAAAGCTTTTACTTCATCTACACTCACATCAGTGCTGTAACGGATACCTGGTGGTGTTTTTTTAATAAAATGGGTAGGGGATGGGGGTTGAGAAAGAAGGGGACATATTTAGAACAAACTTCAGTAGGTTTCAAAAAAGAAAGCTACAAATTCAAAATATCTACTTTTTACATTTACACCCAAGCTATGCCCAAAAACACTTGAAGCAGTTCATACGTCAGAATCCCAGAAAAAATGAATATATAAAGTTAAAAGGGGCTGGGTGCAGTGGCTCATGCCTGTAATCTCAGCATTTGGGAGGCCGAGGCAGAAGGATCACCTGAGGTTGTGAGTTCGAGACCAGCCAGACTAACATGGAGAAACCCCGTCTCTACTAAAAATACAAAATTAACTGGGTGTGGTGGGGCACACCTGTAACCCCAGCTACTTCAGAGGCTGAGGAAGGAGAATCGTTGGAACCCAGGAGGCGGAGGTTGCAGTGAGCTGAGACTGCACCATTGCACTCCAGCCTGGGCAATAAGAGTGAAACTCAGTCTCAAAAAA